TAATGTTTCTGCAAACTCTTCCTTCATCTTCAAACAAAACAGCACTAGGAACCAGCTCAACACTGTAAGGAGTCTGCACGAAACCTCACATTTGGGGCAGACGTACTTCACCAAGCATGCCATTTTGATTTCTCGATTTTGCCTGTGAGACCACAGAGGCAGCTGGAGCATGTCTCTTCTGTTGAGCTTCTTTCTTTCTAGCCCCTCTCCTCCCAAAGGCGGAGAGCATGGGCTCCTGCAACTGCTTGCTCAGAGCTGTCAATGCCTGTAATTTGCTGTTCTTGGGCTTCCTGGCTGGACTGACAGGACCTGGCCGTCATCCAAGCAGGGCGATGTCTCCAGACCCCTTCTGTCTCTGAGACGGGAGCAGTGAACTTTGTTCCAGTTTTTCCTGGTCCTCTCCCAAGCGGAGGCAGAAGTTGTCTTTTTGAATTGCTTGCAGGTGAGGGGATTGAATAATTTAAAATGCATTTGAAAAGAGGGTTATAACCAATGGTATTATAATGGGACAAATGCAGTTTCTTGCTGCTAGGCCTGTGACGAGAACCCTTTTGACTTTTCAAAGGGTAATTTTTATTTAACAAGCTTAAATTTATCCATTGTGGTGAAAGCTGAAGGTATACTCTGGCAATTATGACTTATGATTACACTTTAATGGACTGGTTGTTTCCAATGCTAATGGTAAATCTGTAGTTTTACCTGCAGTTGGAGACACGAGGTCATGGGGAACAAGGTGGGTGGGACGGTCCATAAGCTTTTGTGAAAAGTGCCTTAATGCCTGTTTGTCATCACCCCATGGTACAACACCAGCTTAATATCCAAGTTTCCTGGTGAGCCAGTAAATGGGAGAAAATCTGCAGATCTAAAAACTCCTTGTACAATTTGATTTAGATAGCTAATTAACCAGTTAAGTAACTGACTAGATCTGATTAATTAGTAGTTAATGGTAAGGTTCTGTCAGATTAAATTGATCTCTAGTAACCCAAAGGACAATTACGAGCTTACAATCACTGTGATTATTTTTCCCCTGCATTGTTGCAAGAACCACACTTAGAGGTAATGTGGTAATTTAGGTCTGTTATATAAGGCTGTCTCCTTGACACAGGACAGTGCTTCAAGCGCTGCTATGATTTGGGGCAATGCTATTCCTAATGCCTGGTGAATGAGATATGTTATTAAGTAATCATTGATTTTTTTAGGGAAAATTTTGTAGTGCTATCCCTAGTTTCATATAGCCTGTCAATTCATTGCCCATTGAAGAGCAGATTGTTGCAGGCAGCCAAATAAACAGAAAGCAAGCAGAGAGGTCAAAGCTGGTGACCAGTGTGAGAAATGTAAATAGGAGGAAGGCAAAAAGCTTATTTTCCAGGTTGTCTTATAGCCCTGACTTGGTGCTTGGTAAAGCGGAAATTTTTTTGGGGTAGTCTGTGTCAATGCCATCTGAACAGGAACTGAGCTACGCACATTTTGGGTGCTTCTGCAACACAAATAGTTTGAGTCATGTTACATATCTCAAATATTTTGCTCAGAAGCAGGAAGGCATATGCCCACTCTGGATGCCATCTGAGGGATGCCTGGAAGGCATGTCTGGCAGGCTCATACCAATATCATTGCAGATTGACATGCTCACTATAGCTGATAACTGGTAAGAGATGGCATCAGGCCCTGTGGATTTTGACTGCCACAAGGGGGATATTACTAATGAGTCAAGATGGCTTTTTGCAATTAGAATAATTGGAACGTCAGTGTTGTTTTCCCTTTTTTCCACCCTTAACATTGCCTTTGATCTTTAGCAGAGGTATTTCGATTTATTTCAGACAAGGTGATGTAGTCAAATGGAAATGATTGCAAGATATTTCTGATAAGTCACTTGTGTTTCCACATTCATTGCATCAGCTATTACTCATGTACCTACTTGTTTATTACTCCTCTTGAAAGCACAAGAGGGAAGCAAGACTAATAAATCTATCCAAACTGATATTTATAGTTCAGTTGTTGAATCAAAATAAAAAACCCTCAAAAACTTGAATCACAAATCCTTGTGAAATAAGCTGAAACAACTTTTGACATATTGTATTCAATTCAGACTGAAATGAAATGAGTTGTTTTGGGCACACCTAAGAAAAGCCAAAGAAATGTAGGTATGGTTTACAAACTGATAATGTAAATCCTTCCCCTGTGCTTTTATCCAGTAGATCCATTATGTTTTATCCTCCAGGAAGTGAGAGACTGAAGTTTGTTTTCTCCTTTATAAAGCCATTTGAAGTGGGAGAGGTTTCACTGTACCTTGCTCTATTTTTTCTCTTTGGTTTGTTCTACTTTGCAATTTTACTGAATTGAACATCCATCACAGCAGACTGTAATCCTGGTCTATGTTCTCCATGTGGGTGCCTTAATCTGTAGGCTGGAGGGATTCCCTCTCCTTCTATTCATAGATCTTACCTCACTGCAAAGGGAGAGGCCTTCCTAAAGAAGGGCTGGAATCCCACATCCTCACCGTGGTGCTTAGAGTACACCTTTGGGAGTGAGACCCTGCTTTAAATTCAATGTCCACCTAAGTCAGGGCAAAGATGAACATGGTTGTCTCCAGTTTGTAATACAGCACCCGAAGTACTATGAAATGAGGTGATCTGGGCCAAGTCTTCTCTTGCTGCAGCTGTTCCGGTTAGGAATTGGGACCCCCTCCTCGTGGTACAAACTCAAGTGTTGTCTCCTACTAATCGCTCGTGGGCTTGCCAAATTCCCAATCTCAGGTGTAGCTTTTGTGGGCTCGGAAGCTCTTCTGCCAGCAAAACTGCCAGCCCTGGGCACGTTCCTGTGCTGCCACAGTGTGACCACCTAGCATTGCACAGAGGGCACATGATGGGCACAGCTCAGCAGGGGATGCTAACTGCAGCCTGTGGGAGGGGAGTACTGGGGGGCAGGAGCCTATGGTTCCCAGAGACAGCCCCTGCAGATTCATGTTGGACCATCCAGTAAGGGCGGTATAGACTAGCTCTACATGAGTGGCTGTATTTATCCAGCTCCTTCTCCTAGTTCACCTGTCTGTTTAGAAAGAATAGATGGTTTTCCTGCAGTGCACCTGCAGAAAATTGAAAGGAACCACGTATTTTACTGTAGTGCAGAGATAAACAGTTTATGCCCTTCTGAAATGTTGGGTTCGCAACAGTTGAGTACACTTGAGCGGTCATAAAAATCCTAGTGCTATTTCACAGTTTAACTAATCTCATGCAGGTTGGGTTTACTTAGGAGAAGTAAACTCAGGTTATGTGCATGAGAGCTATTTCTGCAGTGAACATGTGATTTTTTTTTTTAATGTCTTTCTTTACATGGGGAATAATAAATTATAGTCTTAACTAGAATGAGACAGAAGTCAGTGCTCCTTTTGAAAATTGGATGCTGGCTCAAAGATTGCTTACCCAGTTTCTGGAAACTAAACAAAAGTTTGAGTTAAAGTCACTGCGAAGGTTCTGCTGAAATCCATTTCAACTCCTTTGGCACACAGCACACAGGCGGAAACATTTCCTTGCCAGTTAACTAATGCTTCTCCTCTTGCTCCTGGTACTGTGGCTGATTCAAATCTGTGCAGTTCGTATAATTACACCCCACCCTCCCCAAAGCACATATGAAATGAAGAAATGACAGGAAAAAGGCCACATGTCACAATAATTACTATAATTTGGTCTGTTATTCCCTTGCTTTCTGGCTCAGTATTTGAGGCTCGATGTTAATTTGCTTGTATAACTAAAGGTGTTTCCTCTGCTTGTTTATACTAGCGATGATTTCTAAACATCCTTTAAATTATTTGCCATAACATCTCTCCTCATCTTGATATTACTTCAATTTGAGCCACTTATAGAAAGCACTTCTTTCTATTTTTGAACAGAAACAGTTGGGAGCCAGAATGTATTTGTTTGCCTTTCTATTTTTGGTTTGAAATTGCTGGAAGCCAGTAGGTGGGTTTTTATTTTCTGTTTTAAGATTTTATTTTCAAACTAAAACAAATATTATGTATGAGGAATGGCACATATCTTAAATTGTAACAGGAAAAAGTTCTTGTTAGAAATTCTTCTGAAGTGTGGCTCTATTTCTGGAAATCCTTTCTTGCTCACTTCAGCAGAGTCTTGTATCTTCTCCCATTTCACTCGGTTCTTTCATACGCAGAGGGGTGAGTTTTATAGGAACTATGCTAGCACTAAACGTTTGTTGTTTTCCTTCATCTTGTGCACTGCATCGATTCTTCTGCCATCTGTCCATTCCACCAGCCAAAGGAAAATCACATAGGGAGTTGATGATTGGTTGTGTACACCAAATGGAATCACCTGAACTATCACCTAAATGGATAACTGCTAACTTTCTGTATCTTTGGAAAATAAACCTTAGTGTCTGCTGTTGGACTGCACAGATTCTGCTCTACAGAACAGAAAATTGCAATTCGCTATAAAATGGGTAGTCCAGTGTTAGATCTCATCCTATTCAGGAGAGCCAGCAGATTGCCTAATTAGAATTCCCATAAAACACTGGGAATTACTCAGCTGAAGCAGAAATCAGAATCTCATAGATTTCTTTCAAAGTAAAAAACAAAAATTAACAGAAAAACCAACCCCCAAACTACTCCCAGTTTTACTTATTTATTCTCTATGCATTTCATTAAAAAAACCCAAACACCCAACCAGCAAAACCCAACCCAACCAAACAAAAAGCAAGCCACCAACCACATCCATGAGCTTTATTCTGTTTGTTTCATAGATAAGCTTGGATAGCTTTGAGTTAGTGTTCCTTATCACTGGTTGACTTCTAAATCAGTAAATTCAGTTGACATAATGTAACATTATCTTTGGAAAAAGTCTTTTTTTTTTTTGAGGGGGTGGGTGGAGTGGGGAGGGTAAGGTTGGCAGGTCAAAGTGTATTAACACTTTTTTTTTACTCTGCTGCCAAGACTTAGGTTATAAGAAAATATAGAACAGAATTTAAGTAAACAAAACTTTCTCTTTTTACAGCTTTCCGACTAAGCTTTGAAGCCATTCATGGAAGCTGATGGCAACGCTCTCGTAAGTATAATTGAAGTTATACCAGAGTTACTAATCAGCTGAAGAGGTCATATGTTGGGGTTGTGTCCTTGTAATCATAGAAGACTGTGGACAGCATCAATATCCAAACAAGATCTTGCTTATGGGCCAGGCCAAGTGGTGAGACTGCCACAGGCTGCCTCAGTTCTGCTCTAAGGATGAAATTAAGTCTATTGTATGGGCCCGATGCCAGGGGTTCCCTCACTTCCAAGTCCTACCCCTCAATGGATAAGAAGGCAGTAACTTAGTAACATGAGCTTAGCAAAGGATTTTCTTAGCCACACATCTATTTAACCCGTGAGAAGCTTAAGGAAAGTACAGCTCTGCAGCAGATGAACTATCGATCATAACTGCCTTTGGTGCCTTCTCAGACTCATGCACTGTGAGTTGAACTTCATGAGACATGAAGTCTGGTCTTCAGCATTAGCCCAATGCCCCTGCTTTTGCTTATAGAACATTTTTTTCTTTCCCCTGAAACAACCTCATATACCTATTTTACCCCATTTTTTCCTCCTGGAGATTTTTCAGGCTGCAAGCCCTGCAGTCTCTGGTCAGAAGCATCCCCCAGGGGCAATTCTCGACTGTTTCTGGCAGCTTCCCAGAAGGTGCTGCCCACCTGAGTTTGGTTCCCAGAGACAGTTGCTCAAGTCAACCCATTTGGAAGGGAGGCTGGAAACAGATAGTCCACATGCTATATATTTGCAAATCCTTGTTGTCAAGCAAGGAGAAGGTAAGGGGATCCACAAGGGTGTGGGCCCAAAGAAGCTCTAGCAGCTTCTGACGATTGTGATCAGCTGTCACTGACCCAGGGTGCCTGGAGCCTTTGGTGCAGCTCCCTCTGATTAGGGAGGGTCAAGGACCCTTTAACTGGTGTTGAGAGGGACCTATCTAAGAGCCAGGCTCAGAGCACAGCCAAGGGACCTAGCAGTTTGTACAGCAGGGTGTGAAGAAGGAGTGAAGTAAGGGGGCCTCAGTTGAAATTGTGCTGCTGTAACAGTCTTAGATGGGGTGGTAACAGGACAGTTTTGCCAAGGAAACTGCTGCTAGTGCAGAGGCTTCCACACAGACTGAGCTTCAGATGGTGGATGCAGCCTTCCAGGTCCAGACTGTAGGAAGTGCCTAGGACCTCTCTCTAGGCCAGGAGAGATGGCCCTCTGTCCTCCAGGAGGTGCAACCGTCTTGGAGGAACTGTGCTGGCAAGCAGAGGAGATACAGGAGGAAAAGAGCAGGCTGCGCAGCATCAAAGAAAATGAAAGGGAGATAGGATCTTCTGTGAGACACAACAGCTTGAAGAGCCTCAGTCCCTATCTGCAATGGAGAAGCAGGCAGTGTCTGCCCCCACTATCAAAGCAAGCAAAACCTCTGGAGAATGGGAAGGATGGAAGCTGATGACTTCTAGTACCAAGAGGAAGGCTCCTGTCCCACCTAAGAACTTGCAACTGCAAAGTATGTTGACTGCCCTCAAAACTGAAGAGGAGCCAGATGTGCTTACTAGCAAAGGACCTGGTTCACTTAACCATAAACCATGCAAGGCTACCAGGAAGAAATGATGAGTCATTGTAATGGGTGACTCCCTGCGGCGGGGAACAGAGGCATCCATCTGTAGGCCTGACCAACCACCTAGAGAAGTTTGCTGCCTGGCAGGGGCCAGGAGTAAGGCTGTTGGGGAGGGACTGCCAAAGCTTGTCCAGCCCCCTGACTTCTACCCCCTACTGTTATTCCATGTGAGCACAGATGATTCTATCAGGGGATACCAGTATATGCTGGGGGCTGCCAAGCTGGAAAGCAGCTTTGTGGAAAAGGACCTGGGACTCTTGGTGGACATCAAGTTGAACATGAGCCAGCAACGTGCCCTTGCTACAAGAAAGGCAAATGGTGTCCTTGGCTGCATTAGACCAAATATTGCCAGCAGGTCAAAAGAAGTGATTGTTCCCCTTTATTCAGTACTGCTGAGGCCACACCGGGAGCACTGTGTCCAGTTCTGGGCTCCTCAGTACAAGAGAGACATGGAGAGACTCCAATGAAGGGCCACAAGAATGACTAAGGGACTGGAGCATCTAATATATGAGGAAAGACTGAATGAGCTGGGACTGTTTAGCTTGGAGAACAGGCTCAGGGGGATCTTATTAATGCATGTAAATACCAGAAGGGAGGGTGCAAAGAGGATGGAGCCAGGCTCTTTTCAGTGGTGCCCAGTGAAAGGACCAGCGGCAATGGGCACAAACTGAAACACAGGAGGTTCCCTCTGAACATCAACAAATGCTTTTTTTATTGTGAAAGTGACTGAGTGCTGGCACAGGTTGCCCAGAGAGGCTGTGGAATCTCTCTTCCTGGAGGTATTCAAAAGCCTCCTGGACATGGTCCTGGACAACAGGCTGTAGGTGTCCTTGACTGATTGGAGGGGTTGGACTAGATGACCTCCAGAGGTCCCTTCCAAGCTCAACCGTACTGTGATTCTGTGGAAAAATAGGATCTCTAAACTGACAGAAGTCTCTCACTGAAGTTGTCACTTCTCTCGTACATTTTTGCTCATTGGTGGAGCCTGTCTGGCACAGAAGGGGCTGTGAACAACACTCATTTGTACAGCTCCCTTTGCAACTGGCTCATGGATGTGTTTGCCAAGTGGAGGAGTAATGCCTAGCAAGCCTAAAGCCCGCATTGTCCTGCAGGATCACTAGCCCATCCTGTTCAGCCCCCAGCTCTCAGTAAGCTGATCAGTAAACCAAAAACCTACTGAAAAAGACTAAAACCTACCCTGTATTGCCAGCCTTGCACAAAAATGACGACCCTCTTAAAGCTGCAAGTAACTTGTAATATTTTGCACTTATTTCAGAGCTTTCTGAGGATTATTTCTCTCAGATTTTCCCCGGTAACAAGAGCTAGAAATAGATCTGTTTTTTTAGGTTCGTTTTTCAGTTGAACCTGCGATAATGAAATAAATCGTTTGCCATCAGGAAACTGAGCTTTATAGAGAAACATCCACCGTTGTCAGAAGCGTAGTAAAATCAAGACATTTGGTTCAGTTTCAGATTTTTCCAGTGACTATGTCTGGTAGTTACAGTACATTTACATCTGAAACTGCTGTTACGCCCCTGGTCGGTATCATTGATTTTACTGGTAATAACTCAGCCTGCCACAGTTTTCTGTTTGTTCTGCGCTAGTGTTAATGTCTCCTATTCGGAGTGAAACTTAGAAGTATCTCTTAATCAGTGTTCACCCAGGTTCCCTGAAACCAAAGATTGTTGACTCTCATAAGCCAGTTTTCAGAGGAGGAATTTTTAATTTGCTTCTTGAGGAAAGGTTTGCCACTGGAGGCTTGCTAATGTCTTGTATTTTCATGGAAAACTGAATCCAAATCCTGCTGGTGAGGCATTTTATGAATCTTGTGGTAGATTCATTTAAATATAGGGTTTCTATTGGTTTAAGATTAAAAGAGTTTTACTGAAAACTGTTTATTTCATAAGATATCTGAGCAGACTCCAAACACTGGTGCTTTGGAGAAAGAGGCTGCTTTTGTTTGTTCATAAATCAACAAAATTTGGGAAGGCTATTTTGTGAATAACACCTGATTTCATTGCTGCAGTCTGGGATTAGAGGTTTGTCTTGTGCAGAGCAAACCAGATATTTTTTTATAAGATGATGCTGGGCTTCTGACCAGCACTAAAAACATTTAAAGGTTGCTGAATTCCAGATTTAGGATTAATTTGTTGAAAATTTACTTCAGCTTTCAGGACTAATGGGAAAGAAAACCAGAAATGTATCTTAATTCATGAAATCTCACTCAGCAATTATTTTATTACAGATTTATCACTGATTTTATCCAAGCAAACTAAACACAGTGCTGGCTGGGGAAATTGCCCTTCTTTCCCCCATTAATTTCCCAAGTCCTCCCACAAAATACAAAGAGATGGGGATCCATCAGCCCTGTCAACTTGCAGCAGTATACCACCATTGCCACTGAAAAATAAATTTGTAAATTCTTTTTGCTACCCCGAGCTCTTACTAGGTAGCCAGTTTTTTCCTCAGCCTGTATATAAAGAGAGCCTTAACAGATTATTTACATAATATGAATATTAACCCTTTCTTGACAGGTGAGCCATAGACCATGTTATTTTGCTTTAGATCATTAATAAGGTTAGTGGAAAGATCTACTTCTTCCTTGGTTGTCTACAGAGAGCCACATCCTGTCTCAGTATCGCTGCTCCTGTTGTACAACTTCACGTTGGTTAAAGACGAAATGACCCCACTGTAGTATCATGGCAAAGATGTGATGTTGCCCCACTACATATTTTTTGTGCAAGGACAGCTGATTCATACTTGTTTTCCTTAATATCACTTGGGTAGCTCTGAAGGAAAGTAATGAGTGTGACTGCATGACCCATTGCTTCACTGAGGTCCTATTTAGGATGCGTGGGCCATGCGTCCTAAATAGGGCATTCCTTTCTTTGGAATGAAGACATGAAGGGCGGCCTGTATAGGATGGGGAAATAGCAGACCCTCCAATAGAGCTGATGTGTTTTCTCATTGCTTTTCTTTGTCTGTTGTCATGGAGAATAGTCTGAGAGAGAGGGAGGCAGTGGTGGGTTTTTTTTTTTTTTTTTTTTTTTTTTAAAAAAAGGGAAAAAAAAAAAAGGGAAAAAGAATACGTGATGATTAAGCATGAGTCCGGGATTATTCATTCCTGGTAAAGCCTCCCACAAGTGTGTTGCTCAGGTCATCTCAAATAGGCACCAGATAAGCACACGGCTGGGATATGCGGTTCTGCACTCTGATACACGCTGCAAAGATCACTGGTTAGAGAAAGTTCTGGCTCTTGTAAATACTGGTGGCAGTGGTCTCAGATTCTGTTATTGTTTCCAGACAGTGCAGCTTTACTCACCTTTAATTCACCTGTGAGAAGAGCCATCAAATCCTTCAAGAATAATATGAGATGGGGTTTTGTTTTCCTGAAAAGCCGGCTGGCCAGGCAGAGGGGCTGCATTAGGGATGTTCATAGCGTAGCTCTGCAGCGGATCAGGTAGCTACCGGCTTTGCATAGCAACGTTGTGGCCGAGCATATTAAATCATACATCGCCTTATCTAGTACTTATCATCCAAAGGCTTCAAAACCTTCCTAAAAATAAAAAAGGTGAATGCTTTTGTTCCCATGCTAGAGATGGGAAGGTTGAGGCACAAAGAAGTCAAGCACTTTATCTGCAGTCGCATGACCAATCAGTCTGTCTGGGGAGAATTTACTGCAAAAGCCAGACTTTACATTTCTAATGTCCTCTTTTTTGGTCTGTGGTCTTCTGGTTTAGTTTCATTTTCTATGTGTTTGTGTGGGATGGAATATATAGAGTGCAAATGAGTAAATATAATTCAATTGTGTTATTTCTGCAGTGGCTAAAAGTCTCATATATGGCATGGCAAACTTCTGGCATCTTTATGTTTTATGATTTGGATAATCTGCCAGGTTTGTGCGATTTTTTTGTGAAACTCTTACATAGGGGGAAATACATTCTTTGCACTAAACAATAAAAAAAGAGGGAGTGGAAAACCCAATTATATGTCTTTTTTTCAGGATTTCTTAGAATGAGCTAAAGGACAATCAAACACCTGACAAGTAATTTAATCTCCCCATGTTTGTAAATGCCCCTTGTGGAGTGTAACAAAGCATTAAAATGTTGGAGTTCTAACTTCTATTTTTTAACTTCTGAACACAGAATACAATTCAGGCAAACACGTAGCAAAGTAGAGGCTGCTTGTGGGTGTGAAACAGGAAGCACTAGTAGATAGACACATGTATAACGGAGTTACGTTTGCTCTTACTCAACTAGATAGACATCAATTTTAATTAACACGTTTTATGCTTCAGCTACTAACGTCCCTTCAGCAGTGAGTGGGTTATGTGTTTCCATCCTGCATATACCACCAGCATCACCACCACGTCCTCCTCTAGCTTCCCCCTCCCCTTTCTACACAAATGTTGCAACACAATCTGAAATTTCCTCTTTTCTTTCCTTCCTGCATTTCTTACAGGTTCCCTTGCGTCAGAAGGCAAAAAAGAAAAGTCAAGGTAATGAGAGATTGTTTTTTTCTTTTCTCTTCTGGGTTTATCCTTTGTTATTTTCCTAGTATGTCTTATTCTTGGGAGAGTGAGGATTTTATGCTGCTGCTCAGCTGGTGGAAGGCTGCTTTTTAACTCCACTGATTCTTGCACTGATTCTGAGAAAAATGTCAACGGGCTGTTCCTTTGGACTAAATCCTTGTGGTATGTTAATTGAATCAAAGCTGGAAATCAGTGAGGTAGAATCAGCTGCGTGTGCATACACACACACATGCTAGCGGTTCTCATGTACTTGGCATAATAGTTTTCTCTAGCTGACTTAAATAGATGTATTCTTTTCAGTGCAGCTGTGGGAAGGGAAATATATGCATGCTTCTCTTAAAAGGATCAAAGGATATATTTTTAATTGGCAAAAACTTGTGTATGGTTATCTTAGGATTAATTAGTGTCTGCATTATAGCTTACTATTCTGTTTCTGCACGTCAGAATGCCTTTCGAATGAATGTGTGTTACTGACACAGCCATTATAAAACTGAATGACTTCTAAGTATATTTTAAGATCTGCTTAGATGACTCGCTGAGCTTGCTAAGTAAGGTTGATATCTTTAATTGGCAGCATGTCCTTTCCTGGTAATGCACTTTTAAACAAGCAGAACACTGTATTTTTAATGGCACAGGGTTCTTTATAATGAGCCGACGGAGGATATCGTGTAAAGAGCTGGGGCAAGCCGATTGTCAAGGATGGCTCTACAAAAAGAAGGAAAAAGGAGCTTTCATTGGCAACAAATGGAAAAAGTTCTGGTGTGTCCTGAAGGAGTCATCACTGTATTGGTACAGCAGCCAGCTGGTGAGTACAGCGTCCACCCAGCTCTGGGTGCCGGGCACGCAGCATCTGCTGGGACCGTGAGAAGGGGAGCTGTGGTCACAATTTAGATGCACCCTGGAGACGTACCGATGATTGGGTTTATTTCTCAGTCCTGACATTTCTTGTAATCTGGGAAGTGTCTATGTGAATGTGAAACATGCAGACAACTATGCGTTTTTTAGTTTGGTAAGTACTTGTGAAATGTTTACTTGCTCTCTGTTCTGGCATTTACAGAGCTGCTCTTTGCTGGTGTTGGTGGCATTTGAATTTGGGAAAGGTTTTCCTGGGTTGGGCAGTTTGCAGACATTCACTATCAAAACTCAAACCAGGAAGGCTTCTTCACTTGTAATCAGTTTAATTTTCAGAAGCCTCTCAGCTGTTTTTCACTCCATCCTCCATCCCCTTCCTCACTGAGATTAATCTGTTTGTTTGTTTGCTTTTCTGTTTGGGTTCCCCCCCTTCTTTTTCTTTCTTTCTTCCCCAGTGTGCACTGGTAGGGTTGCAGGTATGAGTACGGTCAGTTGGTGATGTTTTCACTCCTGGTCTTGCTGATGTCTCATCCAGAAAAATGTAATTAAAGGTTCTCACGTTCTGCTGGTTTTTAACTTCCTGCTCTGATGAGTCCATGCAAAAAGTCAAATCTGCAGGAGGACACAGAGTTTTGAATTCAAGGTCCTACTTTCTGTTCAGAGGGTGAGCTTTCTTCAGGACACGCGGTACAGATAGCATTTCTCTTCCCGCTGATCCAGCCCAAACAGCCTACTCCGCTTACACTGCGAGTGAGAAACAGTCTGAGACAAAGAATAGCAGGCCCTGGATTCCTGTGATCAACTGAAGAACCAGGAATTAAAAGTAACCCTTTTAATGAAAGGTTATGGCAGAGTGCAAAGAAGCAGTGAGTCGGAGGGAAGAACAGCCGGCTTTACTCCAGGCTCTTTGCTACAGCTCGGCTTGATTGGGCAGAGATGCTGTCTTGCCTATCCTAGGAAGATTCAGACATAATTATTCTCTTCACTTTGCTCTCTTGCACTGCTACCTCTAAAAAAGGCTCCTATCGCATTCAAATGATGGACTGACAGAGCCCAGAATTGGGTGTGCAGAGGATTAGGGGACGCCAGCAACAACATAGGTTAAAACTGAACCACTTCAGTGTGGAAATTGGGGATGGGCATCAGGTTTCCTAAATGCGAATGGGCTGCTCTGAAAATCAGCACCTTCCAGGCCCAGCAAAGGATGAAAGATTAAAGAAACCCTTATTTATTCTTAGAGCATTTTAAGAATCTAAATGCAATGTGGATTGTTTCCACTTGTTTATTTCTCTTGCAGTAATCCCCATTAAAAATCTTGCCAACTGTTTCATACAAGTTACAAATAAAACAGTTTAAACCATAAAATATCCCCCAAACCCTAAATGAAACTTTACTCGTGCAAAGACTATTTTGCATTCTCCCTTCAGTTATGGGTACACTATTGTTTGGCTGGGTTCTTTTTTAACAGAATAAAAACTTTGACCTTTCTTAAATGGCATTTAAAGATGGTATTAGCTATTCTTTTTGGGGGGTAAAATGGAAACAACTCTGCTGGTCTTAGGCTGTTGGTTTTTTGTGGCGGTGTGATAATCTGATTTAGTTTCCTTTCAAGACCAAGTCAAATACAGGTGTGAGAGGAAGAGGAAAGAAAAAAAAGAAATAGGAAAAGTAGAGAGGAAAAAAAAAAAGGCTTTGTTTTTCCAATGCTTGCAATATTTCTGCGTTAAAGACATGGCCTGGCAGATATACTCATCAGTGGCATTAATACCCTGCAAACCTGTATTAAGCACTGACTGTTCTAAATCACTGCTTGCAGTTGTACTTCTGGCCAAGCAGTGTCAAGAAAGGTGAGCTGGCTGGCTGACATGAAGCTGGAGCAAATAAAATGAGGCAACACTAGGCAAATTTTGCATTCCGGGAAGTGAAGGGGGCGGGGAGGAGCAGAGTGGTTCAGTTCCTTTATTTGTTGTGACCTGGCTAAATTCCCCTCTTGGGATCCAGAGGAGCCGCGGTCGAGCCAATCCCAGTTCTATGAGACAGAGTTTGCCATTGGGGTGAACTCGTCCTTTTGGTTCATGCCTGCTCTCCTGCCATCACTGGTGCCCCAAAATGAACAAGGCTGAAGAACGGGTGGCAGATTCGTTCCAGTTTATTTCATATACTCTAAGGAGCTTGTACAGCTTATGTCAGCCCTGACTTCCCACCTATCACAGTGATATCTTCTTGTAAACACGCTAGCTGGTAGCACCTCTTTGCTTTCAACATCTGCTGACTTTCACACGCTATTTTACGTTAAAACGCTGAGGTTTCTTTGGACAACTTAAAGTGCAACCTCTGCATTCAGGCAATGTTTGCAGAATGGCAGGAACGAGGGGGTGTGGGAAGGAGAGCAGGTGTCCTTTGCTAAGATCTGCTTACTTAAATTGATGAGACCGGAGCCATGCTCAGAGTCGTGTCTGAGATGAATTAGACCCGTCGTGTTTTCACAGATATTTTCACCTCTAGATTGATGAGGCAGAAATAGGAGTGACACATTCACTGGCTTGCTTGATATTGTTTTTTACTTCTGTATCTGGCCTGGCTTTAATACTGCCTGCACTTCTACTGCTGTCAGTGGAGTTAATCCTCGGTCCCAATGGGCCATCCAAGATGACAACCTTAAGTTCATATCTGTGTTGAAAGAGGAGTCCTGCTCCTCATGTGCCCGAGGCTTCCCGTGACAGGCCCTCTTCAAGGCTGAAGCAAAAGGTTGTGGTGGAGGAGTGGGGCCGAGGCCAAAGGAACTGGGGCATGCTGGCTGCCTATAGCTCTGCCTGACCAGTTTCCTTCTTGTGAGAAAGGAGCCTGTTTTGTTCGTGGCTGTATGGAAACTGCAGTCAACCAGACACTGGCAACCGTAGCATAGCAACAGGGTGCTGGACCTAACCTTTTTTTTTCTAATGGAGATGGAGAAAATAGGGAGTGGGTGGAAGTTGTATGGGAATGTGCCTTGTCCCGGATTTCAGTAGGTAACCTCAGATGACATTGTGTTCCCGGTGAAGTCTGTCTTCAGGCGCCTCTGAAGCTCTGGATGTTTCTGTTGTTCTGATTTGCCTTTAAGCCACTCTGGTTCTGGGTCTTGCACATGAGGCAGACTGGTGGAGGAGATGTAGGACACTGATGGTGATATTTGCAGATGGTAGCTCCTTCGATTTAACATAAATTACGTTGTGAATCCCACAGCTCAAAAGAGAAAAAAATAATAAAATGCTGAGAAGGGTCAGCAACAGCAGATCAGACACCCCGACAGTCAAGGTTCTCCTTCACTGAAAGCAAACCAGAGCACAGAGGCAAACCAAATTAGCTTTCGACCAGCTAGCTGAGGTACTGGGAGTGGTGAAGTTAGGGCCCCGGTGGTCTCAGTAGGCTTGGGTAGACAGCCCTGAAACCTCTTCCCATGTATGCTTGCTCTTTCTATAAAACATGGATACCACATGAAGCAGGTAAACTTTTGTTTGCAGCATGGATGTGCCTCAATCCTGGGAAGCTGTTTGGACTAGGAAGAAACAGAGAAGAGTTGGTTTTGCAATGGAAACACAGAAAATGTCAGAAAATGAATGTGAGCAGCCAGACTTTCTGGTTGCATTCAGGAACACCAGACTTCTTGGACAACTGCTCTTCATTAGCGTTTTGTTCCATCTTTTGTCTACCTCTCTCTGTAGGCAGCTGCCTTGAAGACAATGGTTTAAAGAGGACGTTGTGTGATCCTGCCTACCCCATTAGCAGTTTTAGTTCTCATACTGAAACCCTGGAGGGAATCAGTACTCCTGCATATGAAGAGGGGTAGCGGGGGAAGATCGTCACATATAATCCCAGGCTCCTGGCTCCTTTCGATTGTTGGGACTATGTTGCATAGTGTTGGCTGTAAAGGGACAGAGGATTAAATGACTCTGTCCTGTGGGCCTTTAGGATAGCTCGGCTGGTTTTCCGAGCAGAGTTGAAATACAGTTTTGCAGGATGTGTTAATGATGGTTGTCATGGGGATTCAGCTGAAAAGAAATATAAATATAAAATCAAAGGGCTGCAGGCTGTGATCTACTGTCACTATTTATCTTTGGTTTTTTTATCCCCGTTCACTGCATTTAAATTGGTCGTCACTATAACAGCTTTGCCGGGAGCTGTATAATTGCAGTCTTTTAAAACAGAAACCTTTTACCTTTGAGTTATAGTCGCTGCTTATGTGAATGATAAAAACTCATTGATGTCAGTTGATTGTGCCAAGGGCTTCGAGGACCTCTGGTCCAATATGTTACACTAATTTTTCACAGTTCTATAGGTTGCCTCACTGGTGTTTTTGGCAGAGAGAAAAAAGATTAAAAAGGTTTGAGGACTGAACTGCTCCAGGGTCTTCTGGGAGAAGTGCTGAAACGCTGTGATGAAGCCATCAGGAGTACCCTGAATTGCAGATTAGAGCTGTTCCACAATAACTAGATACTTTCACTTTACAGCACTGTTTTTTAAAATCTTTCTGTATCATTACATTCACTTTAAATATTGAAAAAGGTCTATTAAATGATTTACTGAATCTCCTAAAGCCACTGAATTTAGACAATATATTGAGGCAAGCTAAAAAGGACATTAGCTTCTTTCATTGGATTCATGCATTACATTTCATAAATACATTTGAAATTTTTCTTTTGAGTGAAAAGCTTTTTCTGTGAAAAAAAATGGTTACTTTCTTTTTTGCCCCAAGCCTTTGCAGAGACTGTTAATATTGAAATGATATTCCTACAACTGGCATAGCAAAAAGTACAGATGTATATGTTAGGCTAACCTGTATAGAAACCACAAGAGATAACAGCTTATTCTTTTAAACATAATGATTAAATAGGAAACATGTCAAGGTTCTTTTAATCTGAATTTTTTAGGGCTATTTTACAGCATTGCAATAAAATCTGAAGGAAGTTTGAGTGA